AGGAGGACAGGCTTTGGTGGGAGGCACCGAGGCCAGGTTAGACACCCCGGGGGCCCCGGGCACACGGGTGAGTAAGGGCCGACTTAGCCCCTGATCACCTCCTTACCGCCCCCAGGTATTTGACGTGGCCCCCCCTGGAGTCCGGAAATGCATCCTCTCCACCAACATCGCTGAGACCTCAGTCACCATCGACGGGATCCGCTTTGTAGTCGATTCTGGTAAGGGCTGCCCCAGCGACCCAGGGGCGGAGAGGGGGGTGAGTGTGGGAGGTGGAGATGTGCCAGTAGCGAGAGTCCGAGACCGCCAGACCAGAGCTGAGGGCTGTGGAGCAGTGGCAACGTCTAAATCTTTCTCAGACATTCCAAGCTTGCTCCTGCCGCAGGGCCTTGCACTGACTATGGTCTCTGCTGAGAACTGTCTTTCTCCAAATACCCACAGGGCTCACTCCATCCCATGCCCGGGCCGCGTCAGGGTCTCCCCTAGAGGCCTGGCTTGTCCACTTCGTCTGCGTGACCTCCCCCTTCTCCCGCGCCTTGCTTTCCTTGTGGGGCTTTATTTTCTCCCTGGTGTGGGCATCACATTTCACATCCGTTGATCTGCTTCTTGTCCGCCCTCCCAGTTGGACTTCTCTGGAAAGTCAGCAGCGCATAGCGGCTCAGGGACCCTGCTGGCTGTGTGCCCAGGGTCGGGTCCCTGACACTGTGTGTTCTTTGTGAAATGGCTGTAATGACAGTGCCTCCCTCAGGCTGTAAGGTTTAAAGGAGTGGATACACTTGGTACCTGGCACAGAGGGAACCCTCAGTAAATGTTAGCGGTTACCTTACAGTGTTGAATCTGGGAGCCAGCGATAAAACATTCCATGGGTTTATGTACCATTAAGATTCTTAAATGCTGTCCATTAAACATTGACATGCCAGTGGTTTTAAAATGCATCAGAGACAGCGCAATAGGAACAAAGGTCGGCCTTGGAATTGATGAGATATGGTGCGTGTTCAGCGCCGTGAGACCAGGGACTTCGCTTTGCTCACAGCTGTGTCCCTGCTGCCAGGTACAGTGCCCACCACGTGGCAGCTTCTTCACAGCACTTGTCAGCTGTCCGAGCCCCTGAGTAAACAAAGGCTTGAAAAAATAAATGAAAAGATGTGTGGCCCTGGCCGGTTTGGCTCACTGGATAGGGCGTCGGCCTGCGGACTGAAGGGTCCCAGGTTCGATTCCGGTCAAGGGCATGTACCTGGGTTGCAGGCACATCCCCAGTGGGGGGTGTGCAGGAGGCAGCTGATCGATGTTTCTCTCTCATCGATGTTTCTAACTCTCTATCCCTCTCCCTTCCTCGCTGTAAAAAATCAATAAAATATATTTTTTTTAAAAAAGAAAAGAAAAGATGTGTGAATGAGGAAATGCAAGATTACATTAACCAAATGTCAGGGCTGGGCCCAGAATGAGCCGTGGGTCAGTGTTCATGGAACAGAGGAGTAAGTGAGGGCGAGTGGATGAAGCGCTGGGGAGAGGACCGGGTGTATGCAGGCCCCATGTGGCTGCTGCACACAGATGCCCATCCCTTCCCCCCTGCCCCCGCCCCCCAAGGGAAGGTGAAGGAGATGAGCTACGACCCCCAGGCCAAACTGCAGCGGCTGCAGGAGTTCTGGATCAGCCAGGCCAGTGCCGAGCAGCGGAAGGGCCGGGCGGGGCGCACAGGCCCTGGCGTCTGCTTCCGCCTCTACGCTGAATCCGACTACGATGCCTTTGCCCCCTACGCTGTGCCGGAGATTCGGAGGGTCGCCCTGGACGCACTGGTGCTGCAGGTGAGCGGGGCAGGGCTGGGCGGGATCCTGGGTACTGCGCCAGCCAGGAACCGGGAGGCACTTAGACAGGACCAGTCCCAGTGTTCAGGGCCAAGGAGAGCTGGGCCAGCCAGGCCACTGAGGGGCACTGGTTCCTTTCAAATGTCAGATCCCGCATTGAGGAGGGAGTTGTTCCCCAAAGCCGTGGAGTCATGGGAGGAACCTCGTGACTCACTCAGGGTTCTTTCAGCTGTAACAGGAAACCCAACAAGAACTGGCTTTCGCCCTAGCCAGTTGGGTCAGTGGATAAAGCATCAGCCCACAGGGTGAAGAGTCCCAGGTTCAATTCCAGTCAAGGGCACGGACCTGGGTTACAGGCTCAATCTCCAGCCCTGGTCATGGTGTGTGCTGGTGGCAACCAATCAATGGGTCTCTCTCACATCGATGTTTCTCTCTCCTCCTCCTTCCTTCCATTCTCTCTAAAAATCAGTGGTTTCCTTGGGTGAGGATTATCAACAACAATAAATTAACAACAAAAAAGGAGGTCAAGGTTCAATTCCTGGTGAGGGCACATGCCCAGGTTGCGGGCTCAGTCTCCAGTGGGGGGTATGCAGGAGGCGACTGATGGGTGTTTCTTTCTCATCGATATTTCTATTTCTCTATTCCTCTCCTGTCCTCTCTCTAAAATCAATCAATCAATCTATCTATCTATCTATCTATCTATCTATATACTAGAGGCCCGGTGCACAAAAATTTGTGCACTCGGCGGGGGGGGGAGGGGGGGG